TAGAGCCAATGAACCACGACTGCTTAGGATCTTACGAAGCGCCCTTGGACCTGCATCTGCAGATTGCTCTGTCCGTCGCTATACCACTGCAGCTCGCTGTATACCACTTGCCTTTACACTACCCACCGAAAACCAGTTTGTTCGAATGTCCGGTGCTCCCCCGTATAACCACAGGGAAAAGATAAAAGAGAGAAGGAAGAAAAGAAATAAATACGAGGAGACGAGAGGCGCGTGTAACGATCTATCAAGATCCCGTAAGAATGCGTAACAGTAATACATTGCGCGTGGCCATGGAACGTTTGAGATGGTATTTCTGGCAGACAGCCAGTACCCATCAGCATCCTCGAGTACTCAGGTCGGCCCGAGATAAAGGAAATTAAGGATGTCGATTATAGGGTGACACGTGGCTGCGAGGTACCAAGGGTCGCAAAGTCCCTTGAAATATATTTTTCTCTTTCCCTGGATAATGGAGTCGCCTGCGCGCGGCAGGGGAATTATTTACATGACGATTTCCTAGGGTTTAGATGAAAAGAGGGTAGGGACAGGGTGGACCAGTATAAGGGCAGCTTCGATATGACATCTGCGACTTTCTAATAAAACGGAGAGGAATAAAAATGGTCAGAAGCCAGCCTGAAGGGTTTTACCGATAAGCCCGGTCCAGGTTTATGATGCTGAGCAGGCAGCTAAACTTGCGCTCAGGATCGAAATGTGGAAGCGGATGATCTGCTTTTACCTATAAGCCTTATACGTGGTTCCTTACTGATGTTCAAATTTACGGCTTTGAGCGAACCACTGAAAATTTATCGTCCGCATAACAGCCGGCATTGCAGTTGACGCAAATTCCAAGGTCCCTTCTAATTTTTAAGGGGCCCTCTTAATTTTAATTTTTCAATAAATTTATTCGCGACTGAAGGACTTTTACCCAAAAAAGTTATAAAATGTCTTTTGAACAGGACCAAACAGTCTCCCAAGTACTTTCAGTCGCTGGCAAATATTTGAGTTGCAATTCCGGCTCGAGTAGCGAGAGTTCTGCAAAGTGTGGATGCTCGAGGAACGAGCAGGGGGTGGCTGCGGGAAGAAAACAAGAAGGGAAAATTACAACCTAATGTTTGCAACGAAAAGTTCAAATCGTTTTGCTGGGTGCAGTTTCAACCGTGGGAATTTACGAGGAAATCCTCTCAGGACGATGAAGGATACAAGAGCGGAACAAGCTCCGTAAAGTAGGAGAAGGTTGCTCGCGCGTGGAAGAAGCTTAAATGAAAGCTCCTGGAGGCTCCTGGTGAAAATATGCAACGAGGAAAACGCAACGGAACGTCTCGAGCGTAACGGGGTCCTCCTGTTCTCCATCTTCGGAGGAGGAAGGTACGATCATCGCTCGGTGAGCCCTTGGGAGTCGTGTGTAAAAGCCAACGTGGAAATGGTAGCCTGGTACATAGGGCAGCTATGGGAATTTCCAACAGATTCTTAAGAACCTGATGCAGAATACGTGTATCTTGAAAGTGCAGCCTCCCTGGACCAGAATTCCCCGAGACTTCAATGCAATGTACTGGAATCATTCCCATCTCGAAATTACAAGACAAACCCGTCCCTCGAATTCTCCTCTTCTCTCTCCCCCTATTACATCGAATTGTTCTTCATCTCCTGTAGTTTCTAAAACGTCGCGCAGTTAAATGTAGAACGGTCACGTAGTGCACGATGAGGAAGTCGTGCTAAGGAAGACTTCCCTCTCACGCGGGGATCTAGTGGCTGCTGTGTCGTGTAAAGGGAGGCTTTTGTCTCGAGCGAAATAACGACCATTCGTTAGCCCAGCACTCGTCGCACAGTCGTCACGTGGAGGCTCCGTACGTAGATGCGAAACCTCGAGTCGTTCTTCCAGCTCGCTATGTAATTTCATCGTCACCCCAACCAGTACAATTACCACTTTCCCATTGGATCCTAGCTCAGGTTGACGATAACGTTCATTTGGATCCCGCGGTACTCGATCCTCGAGATAACCGTTGCAGAATGTCCAGTGCTTTCATTTCTCAAGGAAGGTACGTAAGCTGTACGTAATACCAACTTTCGAAAATTCGTTAGATGTGCCATTTTAATTTGGAGCTATCGGTTGGCAGGCCACCTTCTGACTTTGTGCATTCTTGCACGTCTCTTCTTCGAGTCAGGAGACTTCCGGCGCAACATCACACTTGAATCGACCCATTCAAAGGGCGAGGGGAATCCTTTGTGAATGAGACGAATAGGGGAGAAATTGCACAGTTTTGTGTACACTGGACCGTTGGCACATGGATACAGAAGCGGGCAGCAACCGTCATGTGTTTTATTTTGCGAGAGATAGGAACACCGCGTTGTTTTACGAGTTCGTTCAAGCGAGAGACCAAAGCGAGAGAGTGGAGGGGGGAGAGAGCACTTTCCTCTCTCCCGCTGCAGGACCGTTTTTTTTTAACCCCAACACTGTTTTCCCGTTTTTCCCCTATTTGCCAAAACCCCCAGAAATCAAGCTGGGAAATGACCCGCACGATTTTTCACTTTTTTTTTCCTACGACTGCTAATGCGCACCTCAAAATTCATTAGGATCCACACTGTGACGGATATACGTTGCAGTTACTCGTTAGCAAATACTTAGCAGGAAAATTCGTGGGAGAACAAAAGTTGCGTTGCGACATTGCAAGTGGATTTTCATAAAGGACCTTAAGGTATCCCTTTTATCGATCTGCGTTCGACGATCTTGAATTAACCGTGGACCGCGAACCCCGTAAAGACGGTATTACAAGGAGGAAAAGAAAGATACATATACATATAGAAGGAGAAGGAGCCCTCATAAGTTGAAGATATATCGTCGCTCTTTTATACAATGTGCTTTATACTTTCCAAGCACGCTCCTAGTCGAATACGTCTACCTCAAACAACAACTGACTGTATCACGTCCCCACGATTTCCTCTACTTTTCTTTTTCGTTCGATTCATCCCAGCCTTGGATATCCCCTGGATATCCCTACCATCCACTCACTCGCTTCCACGGTACATCTACATACCGAACCAATGTCGACGCTCATTCTGGACACATATTAAATAATGCATGGGGTCGAACGAATTCATCCAATGAGAAAAAAAAGTTTGATCAACGAGCGCCATCTGAATTACTGAGGCTGACACAATTTTGTATCGAGCTGCCTTTTTTGTCTTTAATTAGATCGATCTCGGTGATCGAATGATGTTTTTAAAAAATTACCCCATCAACGTCTACTGCAGTCGATAGCTCCGAGCTCCGTGCCGGCGCTTACCTTTCGGATTGAAACGTCTTTTATTTTCCATAACTTTAAACTCAATATTTTCCTTCTATTAGCCGAGCAGTTTGTGCCGCTCGTTTTCAAAGCATCAAGACGGCGACGCTTCGTGCTTAGGGCGACGCACTGGCATATCGACGCTACCTGTGGGTGTGCTGCGTGTCTTAGCTCTTTGGAGCATTCGAGAAGAGTGTCGATAATGGCGACAAAAATCTTGCCGATGGAGGAGAAGATCCTCTTTACGTCTTCGGATAAATACTATTCTTACGTTTATACGTTTCAGGAGATATACACTGTCCGCGTTACGCTTTACGGTAACGTTAGAAAATATTTGAGAAAAATATTTCTGACGGGAACGACGTTAAATTTTCTCTCTATGGCGAGCACGACGATTCTCCAGGAGTGCCTGGTGGAGTTATGGTAATATGCAAATTTGAGAATTCTCTTGGAATATTTTGTAAATTGGATGCGTGGGTATTAACGGCGCTCGGAATTATTATGTGCATTAAGCGCACTGTAGGAAAGTGAAAGGGTTCCTCGAAATTGAGCTCCAAGAAGTTCCCGAGACGTTCTTTGATTTTAATACGAAGCTTGAGATTTGGAGCCTGAGGCTATCGCTTCTGGATAAGAGAATGTGCAGCTAAGGCTAAGGTAAAAGAGGGTGAAAGATACGTAAAACAAAAAGGCAACCTCCCGTACATCCCCTGGGAGAGGGAGATTTTATGTTTTATCTACGCGAGACTTATGGACCAATCGTGAATACGCGTGTGCTATGAATTTCAAATCGGGCAGCCACATTCAGCCACATTCAGCCACGTTCGGAGACGCCACCCTTCTTCCGTATCCATATACCCATGCACACTGTGGAACTCTTCATAATTCTACTTAACTATAGCGAAAATGATTTAAAAATAGTTATGATTTAGTCGAGCCGATGTCAGAAGCGTTCAGGAAGTTACTCGTCGCTGCTTACGTTCTCCGGGCGACTGTAAATAGATCTTGGGACTTTTGATACATATTAGTTTCTATCGTTCGTGAACGAACCGGATGTTTTCGTAATTGTTGTGGTATTTCTATTTCTTGGAACATTTCCTACTGGCCGTTCGCGCGATGCAAATGGCTGGCCAGGGGGCACCTATTAAATATGACGATACCGCAAAAAGTCATTTACGTACGACGTTCGCTGGGCTGTATAAATGAGGCTGGGGATGAGTCGTTATCTTGCATCCTGGGGGAACTATACGTCCACGACCACGTCTCTACCGTCCTTCTCTGGGTGATAAGAGCCCAGTGCCGCTATACCAGCAACGTGTAGCAATATACCAGTGTATCAAACCCCCAGGCAAATCTTTGCGGATTAATTGTGATTGCCAACAAAAAGTTTCAACCACGAAATCCAAGCAGCAGCGCTTATTGAAAAGTTTTCCCTTTACATTTTTAATTACGCTTAAGACGGTAAACTCCAAATTTAGTACCACCTCGATACAGCCCTGGCTGATTTATACGTTTACCTATTCCATCGAATTTCAGATTAAGCCCGTGAGATTACAATGGCGTACGTGGATAAAAATTCAATATTCTTATAAAAACTTGAAATAACAGAAGTAACTTAAGCCACGTCTCCCGAAACGATGAGCATTTGAATACTCAATTCTGGTAAAAAAGTTTTCCTAACTCTCTGTTTCCAATTTAACCGCAACAAATTGATCTTCGTCTTACCTCTTTTTTCGGAAAAAAAGTCAGCCTCGCTCGACGTGGCATTGAGGATCGCGGAGATCAGCAAGAGAGTTCTGAAACTGAATATACATATATAGGTTAAATGGTGAAACGTCACAATGAGTCGGGCTCGTAAGGATCAGAAGGAAGGGGTCATTTAGGAGTTAGGAGAAGAATTTCGTTTCGGAAATTCAAAGCACAGAAAAGACACGTGATCCCGGCAGAACGAAGTTGGCACGTAAAGAGCGCATCAGGATTAATATCAAGGCTATAGGATGTTTCATACGTAGCTGACAGTACAGGCTGTCCTTTATATCATTCCACCGTGTCCTTCTCTTAGTCTCACTTTAGCCTGCAGACACAGCTACAGCCGAGATAAGAAATACGAGAAAACGTATTACGCCGGCACGTCTACACGACGTCGAATCCCTGAAAGAGAGAAAAGAGCTTCGCGCGTTTATCAAAGGCTCACGTGACTATCTACAAGGTTCGCTGATAAAGCCGTCGTAAGTTGCGTTGGTTACATCGGTCACTTTATATCCTCTAATAGGCATCGTTCAGTAGTACCGTGTATGGGATCCATTAATGACACTGATTGTGGGTGGAATCTCAAAATCTGAACACGTGGCGCGATTACGTGAATAGATTGTAACGTAACCGGGTGCTAGAGATTTGGCCCTATACACGAAACATAGGTTAAACAGTACCTGCATGATTTTTGGTCTCGTTTAAAACTAGCGTTAAATTTCCATCTCTGTATTTTCGATACCTAAGTGACATCAGAGTGATGCCGATCAAAGGATTTTGAATTTTGTTTTATGGCTACCCGGTAGATACCACGTCGCGAGGTTCACCGTAAGATTTTCACGTACGCGAAGTCATTGGGCCGATGTAAATATATAGTCGTTGAATTTAATTGAATGTTCTATTTCAGACTGGTGACTTGATCCGCGATGGAAACGGGGCCTTATACCAGCTTAAGGCCTGTCCCTACAGGCGGTTCTCGACTGAAAATACTCTAAGCCGTGAGGGGACTGGCTGGCTCGATGTGATCACTTCGTGGTTGATCTCTGGCTGTGAGTAAATAAGCAGGAAGTCAAGACCGGTCCTAGACTAGGTTCACGCCGTTCACGACGTTCACGTTGGTTTTGGCACTCGCCCTGGGACTCGCTTAGACGTCGACCGAGTTGAAGAGTTTACGGAAGGTTTCGTCACTTAGCCAAGTTCGTGATGTCACGAGGGAATTAAAAAAACCGGGGTGTGTCTCGGTATGACATCAGGGACCGTTTAACCTCGCGGCGCCTATCCAAAAGTGGCGCAAATAAATCACAATTCGGTTCCCTAAATGACAGGAAGTGACGCTTATATGGCGGCTGAAAAAAATGCTGCGATAACAGTAAGATAAACAGATATATTCTTGTACGAGCTGCACGTGTCGCAGTGGACTACCGAAAGGCCAGATGACATTTATGAAAAATGATTCTGCTATAAGTCTCAACACTTTCCTCAATTCCCATGAGCATAACACTTGGTCTCTCCGTAACGACTGGTGATGCCATCCGCTCAAACGATGAGCATTGATGATCAAGGGAATTGAGGAAAGCGTTGAACTCGATCTGACTCACTGCCAGTATTATGTACAGGGCACTCCAAATAATATAAAGTCATTATAAGAAAAAAAATGTAAAAAAGAAATGCATCGAGCGTAGATATAAAGTACATTCACACGTGAACACGTGTGTAGAGATTAAGACGAGGCGATATTTTTATTTGACCTGCCGACGGACGTACCGATAACACGTTGACGTCCATTACGAGCATTGATCAATATTGCGGGAGCATACGCGCGGGACACCATAAGTCGATGTTAAACCGAACCATACGTAATGCAGAGCTATGTTGCTCAAAAACATTTGGAAAGCTCTGTATAATTTTTCAAAAATATCCTTAAAATATTCCCGGCTCGCAGAGACTCCAGACGCTGCGCCGTTATGTCTCGTTCACACGAGTTACGATATTCGCGGCCTTTGACTTTGCGTCGGGCTATCTATAGAGTGACGTTTAAAACCACGTGCGCCCCCTGACACTGACGTATATCATCGTCAAAACGAGTTTAGTGTTCCCGTACCCAATTACCACCATGCTTTTCCCACGAGATTCAAAACCACTGCTGGGTTATTATTCTAAGGACTGAATAATCTTCGTAAGAATTTTTATAGAATTTTTTTTTTTTTTCACATTTATCTTCTATCGTCCTTGGCTACTCATCCAGGATTCCCTTTTTGACACTCAAACATTTCCAGACCAACTCCTGATCCAATTTACAATTGGAAATAATGCGATGTCGCCAATCATTTATGTGCTGCTTTATAATAATTCTTAATGGCAGCTCGTCTTCTCCTGCAATAATCATCGTCCTACTAATGAAATGGGAAATCAGGCACAAATTACTTCTTCAGCGCCAACGGGATACGTGTCTCTTGTAAATTGGGGTTTCTAGGAGAAAAACATGATTTCGAATGTCGCGCCTACCTGCTGGTCTTCGTAGTGGATAGCTGAGACTACAGGTGCTTCACCAGAAGCACGGTTCACGCAACTATGGAATGCTAACGAGGATGGAATGTCGGAGTACGTTTTTCTTGAATCGCCCAGTAGATTTACATGCGTACACAAGGGAAGACGAGTAAAATCTGAATGAAATTCCAATCGCTTACGAAACCAGCGATCAGCGATATAGGCGTCCACGTTTATGTGCTTAGAAAAATTGCTTTGTAGTAAACTCTGAATGTATATGACTCGCACGTAATCTTATGTCATCCGACAACATTAGCAGCATGTGAAATTGTCTGCGTAGTCAAAACTTGAGCCAAACCTGTTTTTCCGATAAATAATTCTGACCTCATATTCCATGTCGCTGCAATTGACGTTCACTTTATTGTGAACGTATAATACACAGTGGCAGATTAAAGGTCGATCTATTTCCCCACCTTTCCATTGAAATGAGATAATCATCGAATTGGTATGTTAAGCATTATGATACACTCGTAGAGAATTCACTGACAGGGTGGGACTCCTTGGCGGCGAATTAACTAGCGCTTAAAGCACCTACTAATTTATTCGAAAGTCCTGGCTAATGGCTGGAGCATCGATGGCACTGATTAATAACGGAGTACTTTGGGAACGAGATGCTTGGATTGATAACTAAGGAGGCGAAGAGGTCAAGGGTCAAGAAAACTGGGACCAGGATTTCCTTTAACAGGCTTTCACTCTCTCGCTCTCTCTCTCTCGCTCTCTCTCTCTGTCTAGATTTGTCTATCTATATGTCCGGGTACAGAGAATGTAAATCTAGCCGAAAAAGAAACTAGAATTGAAAATGTCAAACATCCTGTCCCTGTCAGGAATACGAAGACTCGTGACAAACCCTCCTTGCATCCCTATAGTCTACCATTGGAAGGTGTATACATCTTACAGTTGGAGATATAAATGAAGCTAGAGTCTGGACCACAGAATGATTCTATACTGTCACGAAGAACATTCTGCCTTGAGGAACAAGTCATTGTAGTCAGATTCTTCCTATACGTTAGATCAGAATGGTCGAGTCATTCAGCTCGAATTTATTTTGAATTAGTTTGACTATTCCGACACGGATGAAAATCCTGACAGTCAAATCATGCAGCCGTTTGACGTATTTCTTATTTCATTGGAATTCTTAACCGGTCACCCGGTAGATCTTTAATTTGATTCCACACAGGTTGGAGACAACTTTTTTCCTCCGCTTATCTCTTTCTTCCTTGTTTTGAGAAACTCAGTGCTACTTACTTAAGACGCATCTTGGATCACTCCATTAAATGATTCGATGATGAAAGTGTAAAGAGATTGACGACTGGGATGATCTATTCTTCGAGTTGGCACATTCCGATTATCCTGTGTGCGGATGCTGGGATTTCGTGTCGCGAAGGAATACGTTGTGTATAAACTTTCTTAATTATTTTATTTCGAGATGATGATAGTAATTGAAGAATGTTATGGTCCAGGAATGTCTTGGTTATTTTGAGAGATTTGCGTTCCCCTGCAGCATCCTCTTCTTCTTAATCTTACGTTTTATTGCTTTCCCATCGTCGCAACGGTATTTATCGGTCCTCTATTTCGGGAAACTTTTCGCGACTAGTTATCTCACTTTCAATTCGACACTCACTTTGTGATTGTAAATCCTTCAATTCCAAAATTTTGCCAATCAGTATGCAATGTTAAAGAATGATGCTCGAATCGATCAAAACTGATGCGAATGATTTTTCAGTGTCAATCATGTCTCAGTGGTATCGTGCAAATTCACTGCGAAATTTGTCTATGCCTCTTCGGTATCTAACAATAACCGTGTATTTCCATTTATCGAATTAGACAATAAAATCTTCCGTTGCCATTGAGAAGTTTAGACACTGTCGATTTTATGTGCTTTCAGGTAAAAAAAAAATACGTGGCACCCTATAAAGGTCCCGTTCACAAGAGCGCGACTTTAACGTGTGATTTCCTCGCCGGTATATTTAAATTTGGTAGCGCACGTGGTGACGGCGGCGTCGTGTTCTCGACTGGCGCCGTCACGACGCCGGGCGCCGGGCAATGCGTCTCCATCTTGCGGTCGTTCATTGGAACTTCATTCTGTGATTTCAAAATCAAGAAATACATGAAATTTGTAAAAAAAAAACTTCATACATTTTTTTTTATGAGTTTAACAAACAATTATCGAAAAATGTGCACAGACGTTATACGATAAAAATGTCGTCGCACTGACTATCTGTATACTCGTAAAAGTGTAATCGGAAACAGGGCTCTGATTACTCGTTAACACTGAACGAGTTCGAGTAAAATCTTTTACGCGAATAAGAAACACTGAGCGTGATCGAGATGTGTGAGATATATCGAGAGCAGATTTCTCCGGGATGGGGAAAACAATAAATATTGCATGACGCATTCAGTGATTGATCATAGATTTAAAATGAATGTGCACTTTATCATGCTCTTGCTGTTTCAAGAGTGATGCTGCGCGCCGGCGGACGGAGAATGAGATGAATCAAAAGCGGATATGACGCATACAGCTGATTATGCTCTTGAATGAGTTTCCTCTTTTCATTCATTAATTCATAATCAGAATTCTATAATAGACAAGATAACCCAGGAGCTCACTGAGGTTATCTCAAAAATTAGAGCGGATTTTTCACGCATCCAACCACTAAATCCGACAAACGGCACTAAAAACTAGGGCGCGGAACACCGGAAGTACTAGGTGAAAAATTTAAAGAAATTTGTACCGAGTGGACCACACCCAAAAAAGGGGGAATACTGATGGGTTAGGGTACCGGACGGTGCTCCGGCGATGTTTGTCCGAAGGTTTTGAGGCTATGGGCTGGCACTGAGAAAAGTCTTATCTGCTCACGTGTTCTTTGGTTGACTTCATTTAGAGTACAGGTGCATTTTGGGACACCTAGTACGTAGCAGTGATCCTGTTAGAGGAACTGCACGTGAAGCGTGGTAGACGGGAATTGTCCTTTGCCTCATCGGCTGAGCTTGCTCAGTGGGTCTGGTCCAGCCTCTGGACCTCCCAACAGGGACTATCAGTACCTTTAGGGTACGCTACGGTCATGGTCTGGTGCAGTGAATTTAACTATGGGTCCATCTTCCGTGTCTTGCGTCCTTCGTATAGGAGTGCGGAACATTGCATAAATGGACTCTCAATTTCTTGATAATCTGGAACCAATCGAAGTACCTCGATAGTACCGCGAACGATCTTAAATAAATATTTTTATTACAGCTATACTAGTAATTCATCGCTTGTATTCTCAGGTTACGGCAACGGAATTTCAGTCCAGGTGCCCCTAGTCATGATTAAAATTCTTTATAGCCTTATGAACGCACGCAACTTCTGTAATCTACGATACACCGTGCACAGTTGTCAATAAATCACGAATCTATAAAACCAGTTTTCCTGGGCTTCACTTACTTAAATGTTTAATTATATCTAAAGAATAAGAGTATCGTAATAGCTTCTAAAGATATCACTTCTTCTTCAAAGAATTCAACATATTCTTTCTCGAGATAGACTTTCACGAATGTTAGTAAAAGAAAACTATCTTTTAGAAATTTCACAAATACTAAAAGAAATTTATTCCAACTCGTTCTGATTATTGTCATTAAAAAAAAATCAAGAACTCAGGATTCTTCGTTGAGTCGGACATTTAATTGAATCTTGGAGAAACCGGTATCCTTCAAGGTATCTTCATCTGGGTGTGTTCGTCAATGGTAACGTAAGCAAGCTCCTAGACTCGTTACTATCTCCTGTGTAGTGATGTTAAAGTACATATATTACTACGGTTTCCGTCTTCCGACTAATGGTAGAATGCAGATAGGTGTACCTAAACTCAAAAAGTCTCGAGACGTAGGCTCGAGTGTTAATTGACATTCTAAAACCAGTCAAGTCAGCCGTACAAGTACTTTAAGCTCCTTATCCCACTGGTAATTCAAAACGTTAAACACTTTTGCGATAAAGAATAGTAAAAGTAGATATCTAACTTACGCATGGCATTCGAATCAATAAATATAAATTAAGGATTGTGAATGAAATGTTAGTACCTTCGTAATCAGTGATAATTCTGCAGAGCCGAGATTGTTCAAAGTATATTTCATGTTTAATTAATGTGACTTACGGCATGAGTAAAGGTAATAAGACTTACTGGGGACATGAACGGTCGTAGGAAATATCCGTAGTAACGGATTAAGACCCATCGCCAAAATATTTTTAAAAAGTTCCAATAACCAGCAGTTCCTGAGATATAGCGTCTCGAAGATATTACAGTCTTTTATTTATATTATATAAAAGTAAAGACTCCTCGTTCAACAGATACCTCAACATTTATTGCTTCTTAAAATGAATATACAAGGTATAAAAGTAAAGTTGATCGACGACGCGATCCCCGAAGATATATTTTCCTGTCAAACGTTACCCCGTTGCGCAGCTTTGGCTGTGACTATAGTATCTGCAAAATGAAAAAAGAATGGATTACTTAAAAAGATGAAAGAACTGGGACGAAGACCAAAAAATTGAAGCATTCGACTATTTATGGATATAAAAAATTCACACTCCATCTGCCGATATGATATCGACCGTCGGTACGAACTGCTTTGCAGTTTGGTATGGACGTTTGATATTTATGAAAACTAAAGACATGAAATTACCATGGGTTGATAACGAAACACTAATTGACAGAAGAGCCAATTACGTTAAACACACAATTTATTAATAATACAATGCGTTGAGGCATTCAAATTGTAAATTTAAATTCACTTACTGCTGATGCTTTCAGCCCATTATTCCTTGGGAGTATCTGGCACCTCGTTTCGTTTAGTTCCTTGCTGTATTTTTTTCTTTTTTTGAAGTACTCTTTTATGCTTAGCGCCCTGAAGATGAGCGTTCCACTGCAGTTCCCCGATTAAGATCCTTTTACAAGTCTGTGCAGGTACATTAAAAACGAAAACAGTGTGATTAGAGAGTTCAATATTTCATTAACCGCAAAATGAATTCTCTACAATTTTCAAGTTTTTTACCTCACAGAAGTGACTCTCCTCGTTGCTGCTGTCCGTCTTCTTCTCGTCCTTCACCTTTTCGTTGAGGGGTTTTTGAGTCGGCGTCTCGCCGTTAAGTTTCGCAGATACTATCGCGACAGCTGGCCCCAGGACGCTATTGTCCCAGAGTTCGACGTTCGTGCAGTCCAAAGAGTATACCGGAGGTACCTGAGGAGAAGTAAAATTCGGTCCTTTATTCTCGCATAAGCAGAATCGGCCAGTCAGCCCTGAAGACTATTCAGAGAATAAGAGGAGTAAGTAGACGAAGGTGAAGAAGGTAGAAAACGAATGAATGGAAACTGCATGCGCTATAAGAGAATAAATGGAAATGACAGTAAAGAAAAATTGAAATAGGAATGTCCGTGAAAAAAAAAAGAGAGTTCATACCTGCCTGTCTGCACGTCGAACGAATCGATTCAAAACCCATCGTTGCTGCTTTCTCGCATAGCGTCTTGTGACTAGCTTCAGATCGTCGATGCCCTGCTGCAATAATTTCTTCCCCTGAAAGAAGAGAAACGATGGTAGAGCTTTAAAGCATATTTACTTGCTATTGAATGAAGCATCAGCTATTCAACAAAATAATTAAATTTACCGTCTCGGATTCCCTCTGTTCCTTGGGAAGTATCAGGTACTCGTGAAACTCTTTAAATCCAATACTCTGGAAAATTCCTTTAGTATAGTCTGGCAATCTGAAAATATTATTCCATTTGATACATTGTTGTTTACGATCAATCGGTCCATATAATTATCATTCAACTTATTTGACTAATGTCAAATGCAACTAAGCGCGGCGCGCGAGATATCGGTTCTCTTAGGAACCATAATCGTAGTTGCCTCAGCCTATATTTCCAGTAGACCAGAATACAAGGAATTGCATTTTACACGCCTGGCCAGCTTATCACGTGGCGCATGATGATAGCAAGCGATCCGAGGTCAGGCGGTCGTGCTTACGTGGCAAGAGCCGCATGGAGGGAAACGGAAGATGGAAAAAAAGAAGAGAGATAGATTTTAATGGAAAGGTGAAGAAAGGTGAGTGACAAACGTACGACATTACTCATTTCAGTCGCGCGTACAAAACATCGAGTGTCTATACAAATTACATATACATATTAAGCCCGATTACAACATGCAGGGAAAGAGGCGAAACATTTACTTAAAAATTTCACAGTGAAGAAATAAAAGAAACAAAGATTCGTATATTGTCTCTCTCGCTCTTATCAATTTTAACAATTATTCTGCTCAAAGAGATATCTATATATATACAGAAAGGGGATTTTCAAGAGTAGCTTCTTCCTAGGTCGGGATAAGTGGCGCACGAGCATAGTGGGATTCCGATGTCCCTCGGAGATAGAATAATTAAATATTTTTTAAAAATGAAATAAAAAAAAAATAAAAAATACAGGGACCTTGACCTTGAAGGACATACGGAAAATCGAAGGGTTACGTGAGAGTCGCGACGGACAGATGGGCAGCTGGACGGATGGACGCATGAATAGGAAAAGGTCTGGGCCCCCTTTTAACACTAATATCGTTAGCATGTAAACCGACGGATATTTATTCAAATATTTTTTCAACTGTTGCTAAGCGCCTCTCGGCAATGCGATATTAATTCCAACGTGAAACGTATAGTTTCAATAATCATCTATCACAAGGGGTTCTCAGTGCCACGATTAAATGATTCCGTTACGTAGGAGCCAATGTGCCAAGCGAAAATGGCTATCGGCCTTAGACTGGACCAAGCCGTGACGCCGAAATAAAAATGACGTCAAATTGACGAAAAAAAAAAAAAAAAAAAAAAAAAAAAAAAAAAAAAAAAAAAAAAAAAAAAAAAAAAAAAAAAAAAAAAAATCCAAAAATGATCTAACCATTCCAAATTATCTTACTACTTGTTCACCCATATGCTACTCTAACAAGACGTCACCGAAAAGACCGCCTAATCTCCAGGAGCACGAAATGCTATCGCTACATTATCATCGCCACAGCCATCACAATTATTAATGTTAACAATAACTCACAATATGCGTAATTCGTAATAATTTGATAAGACGAATAAACAAAATAATCTTGTATCCCGGTCTAGAAAAAATTCTAAAGATCTCCAACATACTTCCATCTAATCGGCATTGGGTATGCAAAGTGAAGGCAAATTAATGTAGGTCGCCCACCCAGTGGAAGATACTTGCTATTTATTCCGTTAACTTGACATTAAATCTTTCACACGAGTGACGAATTAATGACGGTGGGTGTGCGTGGATTATTGAACTGCTTTTTAAGAATACCGTGAAACGAGCCAATTTTATAAACATATCACTCTCGTAAGACTATTGTCTACTGACAGGAAAACGATAAATTTATTTCAATAAGTAAAAAAAAAGGCAGCGCACGTCCATCGCCGGTTTCACTCTTGACGTTACAGAACACTGGTGCCGTTTACCGGGAACGCCGATGCAAAGGCAGGGCTGACGTCACATCCGGCAAGTTTAAAAAAAGCTTATGGAAAGTACAACGAATCTTCATTGAATTTACATAGTACGAAAGACGATATTATAATCGGCTGGAGTTCATACGGATAATTGCGAAGCGTTATTTACTCCTATAAGAACGCACTCGAGAGAATGAGACTCATCGAGAACTTCAATTGCAGCGTTTACAGAGATGCGCAACAATGTGACTCTTGTCGGGTCAAATGTTATTATACAAAAGAAGAGCAACGCAGTGGGTCAAATTGGAACGAGAAACATAATATTTTATAGCGATTAACCTTAACAGAATTGCGATAACCCTATCCGATAAACTATAGCCAAGTAGCATTCAAAGCACTGGACATCTTTTATATCATCCTTAACGAAGCTTCCTAGCTTAGACACTATGTAACGAAATGGAAAGTCTACATTGTTTTAAGGTTTACTACCAACATTAAAAAATACGATAACACTCGATCCTTTGCACTTATCTAAGAAAATTTATCGAACGGCGCCACGAGCTTATCGCGTTATCAATGAACAGTGCGGTGATCGTTGTTTACCGATTACCGAACGAGCGATATGATTTTGATTTTTCATCGAAATCATTTCGATGCACAGATGACGGGGAAGGATTCGGGAGGAAAAAAAAAGTGTAGAATACTGGTTGACTTACGAAATAGCGTATAGTACGATTCGATAACTTATTTTCGTAGGCAAACAGAATATTATAGACTTGTCACGTGTCTTCGCGGGCTACCGAAACTTTTCTGTTACAACGAATCCACCTGTACATACACACCGTTGACAGTAGTACTGTGCACACATTATATTGCTAGTACTGTCCACATAGCATTTTTTCGATAACACTTTACAGATGATTCGTCGAGTTACTCTAATTCGGTCGATTCTTTTTTGCTTTTCATGGTAATGACTTTCCAGGGACGCGTCTGGTTATTATTAACAGACAGTTATTTTCTATTGGCAGCAGATCGTGGCATTTCTTCTTCGAAGTGACATTACATATCGATAGGAATGATCTATGGATAGACGATACGACGAAATAGGAGGGAATGATAAGGAAAGGTAGAAAGAGCAGACTGATAAAAATTATAGGACAGGGAAATACATGGAAGCGCGACAGGTAAGCGGTATTAGATGTAACAATGCACGCTGGGACTTTGATACGATTGACGTTAATAAATAAAGAGACGAGTGAGGAGTGAAGAAATGCATGCAAATACATATATGGTTTCAAGCGCATTAACAGACACAGTACAAACTTCGAATATGGTTAGAAATTGCCGTGTTGACATTAGGTATAATGAATACGTAATATTATAGCTACGCAACAAACAATAACGCAGTTGCAGGCGGCGCAATAGCAGTTGCGTAAAACGTTAATGTAATGTGTAATCAGAGCCAAAACTTTTCGTTGGCTTCTAGCTTCGCGATTCTTCCCATTGGCTGCGTTTCGCTTTTGTCGGAAAGCCGATATCTCCGTGAGTCCTTGAGTCCTTGAGGATCGATCGGACATTTTCGCGACAATTTAATCTCTTTCTGCAGTCTCGTGCGTCGCAAACGGACTCGGAAGATAGAATTTGCAGAACTTGAGTTCGTGAAAAAAAACAGACGGTACACGAGACGCCGGTCACCCGATTCTTACGGAATTCGATGACTCGGTGTGAATCGTCCCGATTCTCAAGGCGAAACCTCCGATTTCGAGTAAAGCAGAGACTGCATATAACTTTGAAAAAAAAATATATATTTTCCTGCCTCTTTCGCATAATGCTAAATTTCCGGAACTTCCGTCCCTCGCGATTTCTCTTGGCAATTGTGTTCGAGTGCACGAATAATACTGATTTTCCGGGATTCCGTTCTTGAGGTATAACGAAATCTTGGACCCGTTCGAACATCCAGGTCCGGGGCGTTCCTTTGAAAGGACAATAAATGAGGGAGGTTTTCGATTTTTTTTTTTTTTTTCAAATTGAACCAGAGCTTTTTTTCTCACAAAGCAAAAAGTCACTGAATAAGAGGGTCCTTGGTCCCATTTTCAATGATCCTCAGACCCTGGGAAACGTGCTCTCAATGGAAGCCAGAAAAATACCGCGAGGCTCCATTATTTATTTAAAGCCGAATGAGGCAGCTACAGCGCATTTCTGGTCCTCCGGCTCCCAGTCCCTTCACGTCCGTATCCGGTCACGGAGTTCCGTGCAGCATTGGGCACTGCCTGATTTCCGGGCACAGGAAGGTCCATTCACGATGCAAGCGGCGGCGACTCTCACGTGTCGAACCAGGAAAACGTGGCGCGCGCGCGCGCCGCGGACACAAGTGTGTCCGAACGTGCACGTGAGAGACGCGAAATGCATGTGTGAGAAAATTGGCAATAATGCTTATATCACAGCATAAGGCATTAAAGCGTCTTATCGCGTCTTACAGCATTTCCCTAGAATGGCTTACGCATTATTCTTAAGCCGATCCTGATTGTAGCGCTCATGAAAATCCAAAAGTTCCTTGACCAATCCGGCCTCCAGCATAGAGTCGACTCTGGCGTTGAGCCTGTCGTCTAGGATTTTCTGTAAGAAAAGAAAAAGTCAAATTAACATTGAAAATGTACAATGTCGACCATTAGAATAGTAAACACGTGGATTAATTGCGAGGTTACTCTACATTAAGCTATTGCAGCAATGTCGAACGAAAGATACCAAATCCTTGATATCAATCTAATTTTTTCTCTTTGAAATAGACATACCAGCCGATAGTCGGCGTTTCATTGAAAAACCAATAGCAAGATTACACCGCAGCCGGGAGGGCCTTGATAATACCTTCGATCTCGTTTGTATCGACTTTTTAATTTTTTTCTTTCACTACCCGCAACACCGACAGCCACAAATACGATGGCAGCGCGATTAGAGTGAATTCATGGTATCGCCAATTACATCGCCAAGAAAAATGCTGAAGGTGCGCGCAACAGGTAGAAGCGTATCGTTCCATGCAGATACTAATTTTCAACGGTGAACTATCATTAGGCGGCGCTCCACCCACACTCGAGAAAAAGGCAGCCTAAGAGACTGTGGAGCATCGACAAATGGGATCGACGGGGAGCAGAATTAGCGTGGCTGTGCGAGAAATAAACTCGCGTCCGAGAACAGACTCTTCCGAGACGATTGGAATATCGCGCGAGGGCCAGACGATGGGCAACGGTACAAGGAACCCGCTCAACTTTCTTTCGCGTTTACCTGACCCGGTATAGGCGATCGCGCCTGTAGGATCGACAGGTCCGTTCAGATTCGTTCGGATCAGTTCGGATCAGTTCGGATCAGTTCGGATCAGTTCGGATCAGTTCAGGTCCTCTCGTCGGGCGAGCAAGTAGCGCAGGCGCCTTTGGTTTTTCGATTTCGTCTCACATTCGAATCATATTCACAATTTCAATTGCGAGAGTCATAAGTGACCAAGAAGCACTCTGAGCATTGGTAGGTCTTTGAGAATTCTCGAAGTCATGCGTCGCTATGTGCAGTAAGAAATTATACCAGGATCCGCTTGGTCAAAGGAATCAAAGAAAAATTAAATATTCAGGATCCCGATAAGCAAGCGTCTATTAAATTGACCTTCCGTCAGACCGAACCCTCCATACGGTATAGTACTATAGCCCATAGTCGTTCGGGGGTAACAATGTACCTACGGTACTAATGGGATGCGAGGTAACGTACTGACAGGTAAATCCTAAAAGGTAGGTGGTAGTAGGTATCTATAGTAGGGAAGCAGGTAGATCTGCAAAAGATCCTAGAATACGGATGAACGGCTCGTTTATGTAATAAGCCGTGTCCCTTGATTTGGTTAATTGTCGGCAACTACTTAACTCGGCGACTAGTCCAACGCGAGATATTCGCAAACAGCCGAACAACCCAGGCACGCGCTGCGAATGGTGCCAAGGCCTGCGGGACGCACGTGTAGACGGCTTTTCCCGCGCCTTTTTAGATACCACCAGTGCCAGAGTTTTTCGGGGTCTCACGTTCCGGGAGTTACCGAGGACTTTGACAGCTGCTCGGGTGGGGGGGGGGCCCCTTTGCCATTCGGTGGGACCGAACCGTCGCGGATAACCGCAATCAATGAAATTGCTCGAAAAATGCAAGCAGCCCATTGGCAGAGTCACTCGAGAGGCTTCGACGAATCTCCAGTGTAGTGGAGATAAGACCTGCTGACTTAGAACTTCTTGGAGGTTAGATTAGACGCATTTTGCACGGGTCGATATAGTATCGGGACGACTATTTGCACAAAGAAATATGCGCAGAATATTCGCGTATGCCGCTCAGGTTGATGACAATGTACATAATGTCTGGAGGTTAAAGGAGTCACAATGACAATGTCTCCTCGGCGAACGATTCCGCGGATCATTTTTCCACGCGGAACGTCACGAGATCAGATCGCATCAATTCTTCGACTGCTGATCTCAGTCGAACGGCCTCCCGTTGCGGGCAAATTTACGCAAAGGATCTTCGTGGCGTCATGGGAGCAGAGAGTCGCGACAGCGGCTTAACCTTACCGAGAATCTCACGATAACGAGACCCGGCAGATAGGCGAGTGCGGATGTTGGGTACAGTGCGACGTTGAGTATGTGCGAAGAAAGGACGATTGTAAAGAGAGGGCCGTAGAGACGCGTGCGCGACTCTGTCGGCAGAAGCGTGGGTAGGCTCGGACAAGTGTCGCCGTAAAAAAAGATCTTGGAAAAGTGAATTTTCGCAGCGGCGTTTTGACGTTTCGCCAAGTGGCGCGAGCACGCGAAGGAAGTAAAGTCGCCAAAGTTAAAAATAAAGCGGCAGATGATGTCGCAATTGTCGCGAAAATTAGTATCGACGATTTTTCTAGGCGACCGTGTCTGAGGAGGAGCTTGAAAGAAATAGAGGCAGAGAGAGAGAGAGAGAGAGAGAGAGAGAGAGAGAGAGAGAGAGAGAGAGAGAAACGAAGACGAGAGAGGGAGGAGGACGGGGGGCTCGAGCGTTGTCCCCTTTAGAGAATTTCCAAAACACCTGAGGATCTCTGGAAACGTCGAACTTCGTGAGAATCCGGCTAGAGACTCTGCCAAGTGGGACAGGCGACGCACAATGTAACTTCCTTCCCCGCTTGGAAAATCGGGTTACACTTGTCTTTCGGTCGGCGATTTCTTATATTTTTTGTCTTTTCCTTCGAGGCAGCTGAAAAAATACGAGGGTTCCGCTCACGAAGCGCAACAAGCGAATTGCGCAACCACCGTCTGTCTGCTTCTACACTGCCTTTCTACTGTCAAAAGCGCAACTGCCCTATCAGGCAATGCGTCCCCGTAACGACGCGCGTGTTAACGTTACGTCGCAGGGCGACGGCGTACGCGACGTTAATTCGTAAACGAGGATCGAGGGAAAAGACGAAACGCGTTTAGCATCACGGAAACTGCTAGCACGGAATTCCAGTCCTACGAGGGCGGCTTCCTAATGGAGCGACCCGAGCGAACTAAATGGCCGCACGTACTCGCGTCTATTTTGGTGGCAACCCGATAGGGCGCCGGCATCCTTCTTCATGGAGTGAAGATGGGAACCCGGGCACCGCCGTCCGCTGTCTGGCTACCTAGGAAAGGGCTGAGAAGTCGAGGGGTCCCAGGTCGCCGCTGGGCCCCGAGGGAATTTCGCCTGGCCAGATCCTCTCGGGTCCAGACCTTTCCGAGAAAGGATTCCGGTTGCTGAAACAGCGGCGACCGAGCGGACGGAGAAGGAAAAAGTAATGGGAAGAAATACTGGAGAGAAAGGCTGAGGAGAAATGAGAATGAGAGAGACGTCTCTCTTGCTCGCCCCTGAGATCCTCTCTCCACTGTGTTTCGCTCTCCTCCCGTCGCGACGCTTCGGCGAAACTTTCGGACGCCGTTTTGCGCGTCGCTCTGCCTCGCGGGCATCGCGTTGCCGGAAATGCCATGCGTGCCTCCGGCAAAAACGACCGCGGCGAAAATGCTGACGGCAGCCTTAGCAGCCGACGAGTCGCACTGTTCGGGGTAGACAGGGAAGAT